TGTGTTAATGAAGTTTTTGTTGGGTCGCAAATTCCGAATATTTTAAGAATACGTTTTCACAACATCGCCCACGTGACGCCGACGTGGTCGTTTGCGAAACGGAACGCTGATCTTAAAAGATTCAGTTATTCTGTTTTGATTAGTCTTATGTCTATCGTCTTTTCATATTGACTTGAATATCGTCTAATTTTAATTATGTTATAATAACTATATCCTGAAGAAGGTCTACTAGACCGAAACGTCTGACGTCGACATTGAAACAACATTAAAACTGCATACTTGCATATTCGAATTTTTGTTTTTCCATATTTTTATTGATACTGTCGGATCTATATCCACATATTTGCTTACATACTAAAGTATATATACTATATATTAGCATATATAATATATTGTAGAACAGGTATATTGACCTTGATTTGTATAAAAATACGTATACTGTTGGCACACTGAATTATTGTAAAACCCTACGTCGGCACTTTTCAAAAGGTTGCCGACCCCTGAAATAAAGATTTCATATCCGGCTCGTATCTGTGATAAGATGCACATAATTAAGAATAATTAAGTCAAGCGTAAAGTTACAATAATAAAGAACACAGCAAGGATGGAATACACGCCCTCCTAACAATGTGCTACAACAGGGGTCGGCAAACGACGGCACGCGTGCCAAACGTGTCACACCAAACAATTTCCAATGGCACGCAACCGAAAATGACATCACGAAATCCGAACCAATAACTACTACAAAGCAAAGAAGATATTTATCTGTTTCAATTTTAATATATACTAAAGTATATATACTATATATTACTATATAAAATATATTGTAGGACAGGTATATTGATCTTGATTTGTATGAAAATAATTATGCTGTTGGCACACTGAATGATTTTAAAACCCTAAGTCGGCACATAGTTAGCAAAAGGTAGCCAGCCCCTGTAACTAGATGAACTCGACTGGAATTCGAACACGGTCCTCCAATTCCTCAGTCCGAGCCTCTATCCACTAAACCACAAAAAATACGTTATAATCGATGGTTATAATGAATATTAACATGAAGCATAATCAAACGTGTATCACTGAATTATAAATATTCCTTTAAATATATGATATTTCATACCATTTAAAAATAGTGTACGTTTTACTTATTTAGGTTAGAACAATATTGAAAGTCAACGGTTTCACAACGGAAATGATATTTTTAGGACAGACATTTGGTTTTAATTTTTAGAATATATATATATATATATATATATATATATATATATATAAATTTAAAAGAAAAACACTTTAAGGTACCATTATAATAATTTATTTCGCCAGAGTCCTTTTAAAGGACGCCGGATCATCAGATAGCACTTCCAAAAATGAAATGAAACGATAAATGAGATTAAAATTGATGGGTAGTGTAAGTTTTTGTAATTTAACAGAGAGTGTAAGAGGGATAGTTAAAGAGACATGGTAGAGTATAGGGAGGGATTAATTTCATATCTCTCTCAAGTATACTTTGTATTGAGGGAGGAGTGACCAGACCTTGACCTATTTAGATGGTTAACTTAACGGAAGTGATATATTGAAATGGGAGGGGAGTAGGGAGAAAAGAAAGAGGGAAAAGGAAAAAGAAAGAAGAGAGAGAGGGAGAGGGAAGTAAAGAGAAAGAGGCTGTAATTGGGTTTTAGCAATTTATGTAAAGAATAGATTTTAATGCTTGATAGAAATTTAGATGTCTAAAAAAAATTAATTTGATGTTTGCTATGAAGTTAAATATATTTTTTTTAAACAAATAGTTTAGGGATTTAATATAAGTTAAATACTATATTTATTAACACATTTATAGAGAACATATTAAAAATATTTTAAATTATAATAGTTTGTTTACCCGACCAATCGTACTTTTTTAATATTGTAAAAAATAGTTACGGTAACATCTTTATTAGTTTTACTTTTAATCTAATTTATGAATGTAATTTGTCATTATTTTATATGGGTAATCATATATATATATATATATATATATATATATATATATATATATATATATTATAGATCTGAGAACCGTGTGCTTATTTTTTATATTTAAATATTAAGAAAAATTGATTATCAAGTTTTGATTTTCATTTTTTAAATTTTCGAGATGATGTGTTATCATTTTAATATTTTCGGTGAGGGTTAGTTCAGAAGAAAGACAAGACAGATTTGATTCAAGACTTTTTGTTTCTTTCACTAAGGGTTTTTCCTCAGTAGAAAAGAAACTTACACCTTTTTTTTTTCAACTGCTTTAGTCAAATCCTTGTCTACATCTTTAAATTCAACACTATTTTGAATGACCGGAGGATTTAAAATTCCAGAATCTGCGCCAAAAGGTTTTGCGATGCTTATTGATTATTTACTGAGCTTTTTATTTCCTGAGAATCTGGATTGATTAAAATGTTTGGCCATCTTTCTTCCAAAGTTTTTCTTTTTGTTGACTTTATTTGTAATCGGATTAATGCTGGAATTTATTGCTAATTATGTTTTCTCTGCCTGAACCACCCTGACCAGAGATTGAACATACAGTTACTATGCCCCTAAATGCATAAACGGACGCTTTAATCCTGTCCGCTATCGTACTGAAGAATACTAACAAGGACCAAAGCGAGTTATCTCCCCTAAACATTGTCAGAGTTAACTCCTCCTTAATTCCCTAATTGTTCACTAGGGGACGCTCTCCCTACACTACAAATACTGGGCGATTTCTTGCCTCGTTCTCTTTTTCACAGCGATCATATCTACAATGTAAGCTCTCGCAGAAGATTGCATCTTCCCATTTGTGGGAAACGCCACGAACATTATACACACATACACGTACGTACGAACATTCACCAAAATACAATCTCTTTACGTTCACACACAAACACAAATGTTAATGTCTATGTCAAATGTAAATGTCCTATAATACATATACTTGTATATATATATATATATATATATATATATATATATATATATATATATATATATATATATATCGGTCTTGTTTGTTTTCTTTTACACTTCTTTATGGTGAATTCAATCTCTGAGCCCGCCATGTTCTTATAGTTGGACCTTCTTCTAGCAGGAATAAACGCACGTGTTCCTAATTTAACAAAACGTAAATCCATGGTCCGCTACAACATAGTGGAATGGAGAGAAAAAAAAAATAACACCGTCGATTAAATTTAGGGTTCAGTTAAAAATCTGAATGACACATGTACAAAGCAAGAGGCATCTGAAGAAGGCCGAAGAGCAGAATGTCTGAAACGTTGTTACGGTAACAATAAAGATGGGGACAAAGTTAAATAAAGTTAACTTTACCTATTATTGTTAGAAAAGCGAAGATTACTCATTTTGTATTAATTTATAGATAGTGACAGCTAATAGGGAGATGAGATTAAATATACTTTAATCTTTTAAAAAAATTCATTATTATTGTTTAAGTAATAAGCATTATAACATAGCACAAACAGCTATATTGTGGGAAAAGGAATTTTCGACAATATACACATTTTCTTACGTATTCATGATTATTTTTTTAACTATTTATCAAAAACGACATTCTTGTACATGTAGTTATGGATAATATTATACATTAATTTGCATTTTTTAAAATTATTAACTATTTGTGCTCAGTTGTTGCAGTTGTTTACATTAATAGCTATCTGATGATGTTTTAAAATTTTGGAATAATAAAAATTTAAATCAAAAGGGTGTTGATAGATAAATTGAGGTGACTTACAACTAAAATTTTCTAACCCAATATCAATGTCCTTGCTACTGCTGATCAAACATATCCTTCCCAATAAAGATGTCAGCCAAATCAATAAAAAAAGTATCATATTTTCTCGTGCATAATACAAGAAAATGAAAGGCAAAGAAGTAGATGTTATATTATACAAGAGTATATATTTTCAGAAAATTTTATTCAGCTTAAAAAAACGTTATAAACGGTAGTGGCATGTCATCCAGTGTCAGATTGGTGGCTTGCGCGTAGGGATTGACCTAAAACTGAATAGTTAATGCTTTTTCATTTCTTATTTAACTCACTAAGGAGAAGGAAATATCTAATTTGAAATTAGGTTAAGGAAAAATATTTTTTTTTTTTTTTTTTTTTAAGTCATTCTTTCACGGTACGATTTTGACACTGTTTTGTTTTTCTGTGTTGTTTATTTAACTTTATGTTTTTTTATTTCTTTTAAAATCATTCTTTCTACATTTTTGGTATTTTTTTTCTCTCCTATACTTTTATAAATATAATTTTTTCTTCTGTCCATCCATATGTATTTCTCTCCTATACATTCATAAATATAATTTCTTCATCTGTCGATCCATATTTTTTCTCCTACACATTTATAAATATAATTTCTTCTTCTGTCCATCCACTTTTTTCTTCCTATACTTTTCTAAATATAATTTCTTCTTCTGTCCCTCCATATTTTTTCTTTCCTATACTTTTATAAATATACTTCCTTCTTCTGTCCCTCCATATTTTTTCTTTCCTATACTTTTATGAATATAATTTCTTCTTCTGTCCCTCCATATTTTTTCTTTCCTATACTTTTATGAATATAATTTCTTCTTCTGTCCCTCGATATTTTTTCTTTCCTATACTTTTATAAATATAATTTCTTCTTCTATCCCTCCATATTTTTTCTTTCCTATACTTTTATGAATATAATTTCTTCTTCTGTCCCTCCATATTTTTTCTTTCCTATACTTTTATGAATATACTTCCTTCTTCTGTCCCTCCATATTTTTTCTTTCCTATACTTTTATAAATATAATTTCTTCTTCTGTCCCTCCATATTTTTTCTTTCCTATACTTTTATAAATATACTTCCTTCTTCTGTCCCTCCATATTTTTTCTTTCCTATACTTTATGAATATAATTTCTTCTTCTGTCCCTCCATATTTTTTCTTTCCTATACTTTTATGAATATAATTTCTTCTTCTGTCCCTCCATATTTTTTCTTTCCTATACTTTTATGAATATAATTTCTTCTTCTGTCCCTCCATATTTTTTTCTTTCCTATACTTTTATAAATATAATTTCTTCTTCTATCCCATTTTTTTTCCATACTTTTATGAATTTTTCTTCTTCTGTCCCTCCCTATACTTTTATGAATATACTTCCTTCTTCTGTCCCTCCATATTTTTTCTTTCCTATACTTTTTATAAATATAATTTCTTCTTCTGTCCCTCCATTTTTTCTTTCCTATACTTTTATAAATATACTTCCTTCTTCTGTCCCTCCATATTTTTTCTTTCCTATACTTTTTTATGAATATAATTTCTTCTTCTGTCCCTCCATATTTTTTCTTTTCCTATACTTTTATGAATATAATTTCTTCTTCTGTCCCTCCATATTTTTTCTTTCCTATACTTTTATAAATATAATTTCTTCTTCTGTCCCTCCATATTTTTTTCTTTCCTATACTTTTATGAATATAATTTCTTCTTCTGTCCCTCCATATTTTTTCTTTCCTATACTTTTATGAATATACTTCCTTCTTCTGTCCCTCCATATTTTTTCTTTCCTATATATTTATGAATATACTTCCTTCTTCTGTCCCTCCATATTTTTTCTTTCCTATACTTTTATAAATATAATTTCTTCTTCTGTCCCTCCATATTTTTTCTTTCCTATACTTTTATAAATATAATTTCTTCTTCTGTCCCTCCATATTTTTTCTTTCCTATACTTTTATAAATATAATTTCTTCTTCTGTCCCTCCATATTTTTTCTTTCCTATACTTTTATAAATATACTTCCTTCTTCTGTCCCTCCATATTTTTTCTTTCCTATACTTTTATAAATATAATTTCTTCTTCTGTCCCTCCATATTTTTTCTTTCCTATACTTTTATAAATATAATTTCTTCTTCTGTCCCTCCATATTTTTTCTTTCCTATACTTTTATGAATATAATTTCTTCTTCTGTCCCTCCATATTTTTTGTTTCCTATACTTTTATAAATATAATTTCTTCTTCTGTCCCTCCATATTTTTTCTTTCCTATACTTTTATGAATATACTTCCTTCTTCTGTCCCTCCATATTTTTCTCCCCTATTTTTTTTTTATAAATATAATTTCTTCTGTCTATCTTTTTTTTCTTTCCAATACTTTTATGAATTCGATGCTGTATGAAGTTACCGCGGCAAAATAAAACCTATGCATGTTTTCTTATCAATAGAAAGTATTGTGTGCTGAGTGACACTTAAACGAGAAAGGTTAATACAAAAAAAAAACCCACGTGAAGAATTGAGGATTTAATTCACACATAAATGACATGAATTATATGTTGATCAGTTTGGACGATGGAAAAGTGATCCAGATTTTCAATGTTTATTGACACAAATCTGCAAATGCAAGCTGCAAAGCGAAAATTTCTTTTTTCGTAAACAACGAATTTGGAGTTGATTCCCCTGCTCGAAAGTTGAGTTGAAAGACCAGGAGTGGATGGATAAGCCACCCACGCTCACTGGGGAGATTTGGTGAGAGGAAATGATATGAGAGTGTGGAGGAAGGGAATTCCCCGGAATTATTGAATTCACTTACTTCACCAGTTTGGGCGAATGTCAAGAAACACGGATAGGCGAAGCGAATTCGACAGACGAGTCGTAGACACGAGACGAGAGATGGAGACAGGAGAGAGACGAGACAGAGAGTTCGGCCCAGCCACCGGTCGTGATAACCCCCCCACCACGTGATTATCTGCTTATGAAATCATCTAACTTAAGCCTTTTGCCAAACTTTACGAAAGCAGCAAACCAGATTTTGCCGGGTCAACAATTATATCACTTCCGATTTAGACGCGGGTTGGGCTGATAATTAATTGCATGCGAATTCTGATATAAAAGTAATATTGTACGGAGGACTGATTTATATATATATATATATATATATATATATATATATATATATATATATGATAATATTGTTCTACATTGTATTGAGCCCTCTTAAATTACGAACGTTGGAGTTGTACTCTGGTCGTTCTCATCGGAGCTGTATATATATATATATATATATATATATATATATATTAAGAAATGGACAAGGTCCGACAATTTATTTATTAAAGACAACGTTAAACATAAAAATGTCTTTAATATATATATATATATATATTATTATTATTATTATTATTATTATTATGTTGAAAAAATTTCTTCTGTCCATCTATTTTGTCTTTTATTGTACCGCCATTTTCATTTTTTCTATTATTTTTAAATTTCCTCTTTTTCCCCCTCTTTTTCTTGCAATTCTTCCCTTTTCTTCAACCTCTATTTTTCTGCTTTTCTTCTTTCTATCCTCTCCTTCTTCTTCTTCTTCTTCTTCTTCTTCTTCTTCTTCTTCTTCTTCTTCTAATCTTTCACGCCTGCTTCTCTTCTCCTCCCCCCCACCACGCTTCTGCCTCGTTTTAGTTTAGGACAGTTCGCATGTCTACATCTTCCCTGCAACCATGTCCTTTTATCTAGTGCTCTTAAATTCATTATACCACATCTTCCATTTCATAAATGTGTGCTTGCATGCACGCGCATGCCGACGTCTATGTACCCTACTTTGCTCAAATTGTCACCAGCAATTTTCGACGACCCTGCACATCTCCCAGCTCACGCGGAAAGCTCAACCATGTTAATCCGGGTTGCCGAATTCTCACACTTGGAAGCAGCCATATTAGCGACATTAACGGCACACGCATTCAATTATCAACGCCGCCATTGTGAGACGGGCACATGATAATGTGACAAAGCCAACTGTTTAAACACATTTCAGATAATACTTGACAAGACACAAAGTGTCATCACACAGGACCCCCCACCTCCTGTCACCGCAATCCACACCTTCTAATGACATAGAAACGTCTTTCTGCATCGTATTTCTGTTTCTTCTTTCAATACGTTTTTCTCGATCACCTTTGAATATCAGTTTTTTGGTCTAATTTTTGCTTCCAGACCTACAAAAATGTCTCTTTTTTTCTATTTTCTATTCTTTTTTTTTCGATTTTTTTCTCATATTTCTGTTTTTAATTTTTCATTATTTTTCTTTTCAAATCTTTCTTAATTCCTTTATGTCCCTTGCCACTTTAGTCTTTTATTCTTTCTACATTTTTGTCCATTTTCACTTCTCTATTTCTTTTCATTCCATCTGTCCTTTCTAATCCGTTCTTACATATTCTTTCTTTCTTGTATATCCTTCTTCCTTTCTCGCATATCTTTCTTCCACTCTTTCATTCGTTCCTTCGTTTCTCACATTCCTTTTTTCCTTTCTTACATTTCTTTCTTTCTTTATTGAATTTCTTTCTTCCTTTCTGTCATTTCTTTCTTCCTTGCTTACATTTCTTTTTTTTTTCTTATATTTCTTTCTTCCTATCTCCAGTTCTTACATATTCTACTTTTCTGACATTTCTTTCTTCGTTCCTTCCATTTTTTCTTTCTTTCTTCCATATCTTCTTTATTGCTTTCTTCATTTCTTACATGTCATTCTTCTTTTCTGAAATTTCTTTCTTCGTTCCTTACATTTTTTCTTTCTTTCTTCTATATTTTTCTTTCTTTCTTTCTTCATTTCATTTCTTCCTTTCTCACATATCTTTCTTCCTTTCTTATATTTCTTTTTTCCTTCCTTATATTTCTTTCTTTCTTTCTTTCTTAAATGTCTTTCTTCCATTCGTAAATTTCTTTCTTCCTTTCTTACATATATTTCTTGCTTTTTTACATATCGTTTTCCTTTCTTACTTTCCATTCTTCCTTTCTTACATTTCTTTCTTACATTTTTGTATTTCTTTCTTTTCTTACCTTTCTTCCTTCCTTCCTTCCTCCATCTCTCACATATCATTCTTCTTTTCTGACATAACTTTCTTTCTTTCTTACATTTCTTTCTTTCTTTTTTTCTTAAATATCTTTCTTCATTTTGTAAATTCCTTTCTTCCTAAATTCACCCAAGAAAGAAATGTAAGAAAACATTTCTTTCTTTCTTCATTTCTTCCTTTCTTACATTTCTTTCTTTCTTCATTTCTTACATATATTTCTTGCTTTTTTACTTTCCTTTCTTCCTTTCTTACATTTCTTTCTTCTTTTCTTACATTTCTTTCTTAAATATCTTTCTTCCATTCGTAAATTTCTTTCTTCGTTTCTTATTTTCCTTTCTTCCTTTCTTACATTTCTTTCTTCCTTCCCCCATTTCTTACATATCAGTCTTCGTTTTTGACATGTCTTTCTTCGTTTCTTACATTTTCTTTCTTTCTTTCTTTCTTTCTTTCTTTCTTTCTTTCTTTCTTTCTTAAATATATTTATTCATTTCCTAATTTTATTTATTCCTTCCTTACATTTCTTTCTTCATTTCTTACATATATTTCTTGCTTTCTTACATTCCTACATTTCTTTCTTTCTTTCTTTCTTTCTTTCTTAAATATCTTTCTTTCTTCCTTTCTTCTTTGTCTTTCTCCTTTTCTCACATATTTCTTCCTTTCTTATATTTCTTTCTTGCTTTCTTTCTTTCTTTCTTCCATTTGTAATTTTTTCTTCGGTTCTTACTTTTCTTTCTTCCTTTCTTACATATATTTCTTGCTTTCTAACATATTTTTCTTCATTTCTTCCTTTCTTAGTTTCCTTTCTTCCTTTCTTACATTTCTCTCTCTCTTTCTTTCTTTCTTTCTTTCTTTCTTTCCTTATTATTACATTTCTTTCTTTCTTTCTTAAATATATTTTTTCATTTCGTAATTTTCTTTCTTCCTTTCTTACATTTCTTTCTTTCTTTCTTTCTTTTTTCTTTCTTTCTTTCTTTCTTTCTTGCTTTCTTCATTTCTTACACATATTTCTTGCTTTCTTACTTTCCTTTCTTACATTTCTTTCTTCTTTTCTTTCTTTCTTTCTTTCTTTCTTTCTTTCTTTCTTTCTTTCTTTCTTTCTTTCTTTCTTTCTTAAATATCTTTCTTTCTTCCTTTCTTCCTTGTCTTTCTCCCTTTCTCACATATTTCTTCCTTTCTTACTTTTCTTTCTTTCTTTCTTTTTTTCTCTCTTTCTTTCTTAATTATCTTTCATCCATTTGTAATTTTTTCTTTGTTTCTTACTTTTCTTTCTTCCTTTCTTCATTTCTTACATATATTTCTTGCTTCCTTACATATCTTTATTCCTTTCTTCCTTTCCTTTCTTCCTTTCTTCCTTTCCTTTCTTCCTTTCCTTTCTTCCTTTCTTACATTTCTTCTTTCTTTCTTTCTTTCTTTCTTAAATATCTTTCTTCCATTTGTAATTTTTTCTTTGTTTCTTACTTTTCTTTCTTCCTTTCTTCATTTCTTACATATATTTCTTGCTTCCTTACATATCTTTATTCCTTTCTTCCTTTCCTTTCTTCCTTTCCTTTCTTCCTTTCTTCCTTTCCTTTCTTCCTTTCCTTTCTTCCTTTCTTTTCTTCCTTTCTTACATTTCTTCTTTCTTTCTTTCTTAAATATCTTTCTTCCATTTGTAATTTTTATTCCTTTCTTACATTTCTTTCTTCC